AAAAAAAAAATTCATGTACATAGTTATAAATGAATACTAATTATTGACTAGTTTGGCTAGTTGATTGTGCAGCTTTGTCCGAGCTTCTTTTTTGAAACTCTCGCTTCTTGTGCAGCTGCATTGCCTTCCTAAAGAGCGAAATACACCACACAAGCGGCTTGTCAAACATTCTTCAAACCTACTTTTCCCATTTCGCCATACACCATGCAAACATGACTCGTTCAAGCAAAGAATTTTAGTTTTCTTCCAGTTCGCAATGCTAAATATTATGGTTTTCTTTCATTTTCCTCTCTTACGTCCTTACTCGGTGAAAATTTCGTTGCGAATGAGGCGATTTTGCTATACACAACGCAAGCGGTTTGATCAAACATCAACATGGCGGCCAGAAAATCAAAAAATTTTGATTTTTGCTCAAATTTCCCTCAAGCGGTTTGTCAAACCTTCAAACACCCCCATACACAGCACAAATGGCTTGAAGCAAAGGGAAATTTCGCTTGGTTTGTCAAACCGCTTGTGTGGTGTATTTCGCTCTTAAGTTGCACCTCAGGCTCATCACAACTTGTAATGCTTGTTATTGATTCTACAAAGAAAGAATAATAAATTGAAGATAAAATTTTAATCCAAATTGTTAAAAATAACAAATTAATATTAACAATTAACACTTAATTAAAAAAATAATATTATGTTATTTACCCAACAAGGCTGAATAAAACTTAGAGAACTCCTTCAGACCTTTCTTGCCGTGTGCCCCGTCTATGTTATAAGTCATTATGATTTCGGTTGTCAACAGATATCTTAAGTTTTTCATCACCGAATGGTTTAATACTGTCCTCATAGTGGTAATCTGGCAAACATATTAATAATTATTAAGTCTACCATTATATTTACAAAGTTATTACTTACAAACAAATGAGTGTTTTCGGGAAAAATTTTGGATTCTATTGTATTCAGGTCCTCAGTGGTTTTTATCGGAAAGTATTGCTTTACTGAAGTAAGCACGTTATCTTGCCGAACTAACTTCTCCAATATAATTTTTTGTTGAGCAAGAGCAGACATCACAGCATCATTTTGAATAGATACGGTTGCTATAAAGACATAAAATAATAGTTTGAATAAATTGCTGTAAAATACAACATGAAAAGATTCTTACAATTAAATTCTTTTTTTAAATTTTCCACGGTTTCTGAAAAAAAAAAAAAATATTATTTGGGAAACATTCTTTGTATACCCATAAATTAATTTACCTTGCAACGTTTTCAATCCCTCCACTAAGAATTTGCAACTCTCGCATGCTGGAACTGTTTTTTTATCTGCATAGAATAGTACATTTGTATATACATATTTGAATTTTATGTGTATATAAAAGTCATTAACATAAAACTTACACGGTGTTGCTACGTTTTCCGAATCGGTTAAAGCCATTCTCTTCATTTTCTTGGACATTGCGTATTGCGTTTTGATTTTTTTGAGAAGTTTTAAAAAAATGTGATCTATTTATATATATTAAAATGAAAGATTTACATTTAAATTAATAGCAGCCATGCAGCAGTGGCATAAGTAGCATACTGTCATCATAAGGAAGACCCATTAATTTGCATTCTATATTTTCTATAGGATAATAAACTTCTGCACTATCTAATGAGGAATCAGCTGTACATATCCCCAATGTTAAAGAGTCAACCGGGTCACAAAAAAAACTTCTTAAATTAGTAAATTTTTTCCCTATAACAAATATTTTGTCTTCAGAAAACCTTTGAATTGCTATGGGTTCATAAGGATTCATGAGACAATAGTTGTCAGGTTGTTTTGAACAAAATATGTAATCCCTAAAATAAAAACATAAACCTTTGCCTTTTAATGATTTAAAACTATTGGGTTTGTCTTTTTTGATCAAACTTTCTTCTGCTATTTTATTTACAAGTTGTTGGAGTATGTGAGTCGGTTTTTTGACATATTTTTTAAGAATCTGTAAATAATTTTCGAAATCGTACGCCGAAAAGCTTGAAAATAAACCTATTGATTTTATGCTTTCTGTTATGTGAAGTAAATTATGTACATTGTATGTCAAACTGGAATTTCCGAAAACTGTAGAAAAGTTTTGTACAAACAATAATATCATATTTTCAGCAATACCAAAATTGTTCATATATGATTTTGGACAAAATAGCATCCTACATGAGCAATGCAATAACAAAAATTCATAATAAAGGTCATCATGAATATTGTCTTTCAAAACAAGAACTCCTGTATAAAGAAGAAATTGACGAAACTCTGTTGCTTTCCAGTTTAGAATATCGTTGAATGTTCTGGGCTTTCTTACAAGTTCTTTCGGGATATATGGTTTCAATGATTCCAAAAGTTCTGACATTTTTGATTTCTTAATTTTTTCCACTTTCAAATTTACTTTATTTTGTAACATTCTTAATAAATATTTACGCATTACCCCCAAATCTATCAAATGCATGCTATCTAATGCTACTTGGCTTATCATTTTTAAATCAATGTTTTCAAATGGTGTCTTAGCATTTCGAAATTTAGGTAAGTGATGGCTGATATATTTTCTGTTTAAGAAATCGTCGTCACTCACAAGATCACCTGACTCAGAACTGTATACTAGAACGTTGTTTACTTTCTTTCCGATTTGCGTACATTTGCTGCAGCCGTGCGAAGATACATGACTAGGTGCGCCGCAAATAAAAGCTCTAATATGAACTAATGCTCTAATATGAACTCTTATTATTTTTCCGCCTAAGTCAAGACCATTGTTTATTATACCTTTCATTTCTTCAACAAAGGGACTCAAAAAATCAAAAACATCATCTGGTTTCTTTTTGCCTAAATAAATACCCACTGGAAAAACACAAACCTTTTTAAATTCTACTAATCTAACTAAAATTGGCCACAATTGAGTACGCGAACTTCTAAACAATGGCAAGCCATCAATGTTTACGTCAATAGAAATTTCGTCAACTTCTCTTAAAATATAATCGATTTTTGCTAACTGTTTTTGAAATCCAATATGGCAATAAAACCCAGGTGCAACAGTTTTAACAATTGCCTTTTCTCTTTTTTTGGCATAAAAGGTCTCTGCGCTTCGCGGAACATCCAAATTCTCGTCCCGCAAAATAGAAAGAAGCTTCTCGAATGATTTACGTGACGGTTGGTATTCAACATACCAATCTAAAATTTTATCCTTAAAAGAACGTGGCTGGTCACAATATGCAGATAAACTCGGTGATTCTAAATTTATATCTGAATCTATACCGGATTGCTCAGGATTCTGATATTCTGAACCAACCCGTGCGTCTGAATATGCGGATTTTCTGCTGAAGAAATTGAGCAAGTTCCTGCTTCACTATTTGAATTAGGAACTGCACCCATTAAATTCTGACTATACAATTCCCTTTGTTTTTTCACAAGTCTTCTTAGATGTCTTTTGCTATTCATATTTACCAATACTTTAAGTCACAAATGTTCAATAATACTCAGAATTCACAAGATTAAATAAATCACAAATTTTTCACAACCTTTTCGCTCCAATTATTACGCATTAATTATTAGATATGTGAAAGCTAAGATGCGACGCAATCGAACACATTGAATAGAGCATTTCATCGAACAAATAATCGGAATCATTGTCATCAAAAATGCCTAATCTACGTTTTACTTGAGCGAGCGATATTCAGTTGCTTGAATGAACAAAGAGATGTCACTCTTGCATACTTTAATTTTTTTTTGTAAGGCTTTTATCTATAATCACTGTAGCTCTTTCCTAGTTCATCATAGCAACAACCTCAGCTACATAAATAAAGCCAGTTTTGACTTAGTTTTTATTTTGATATATTTATAATATTTGGTAAAACAATTTCTCAAATGCTTTCAGAATTAGAATTATTACCGCTTACCAAACAAGGTAGAAAATAAGAAGGGACAACACGGTATAATTCTACGTTCTTTGCGCTTACTCAATACGTAATTCATTACGATTGCATTGATGCCAATATATACCCCCCATTAGTTTTATCGAAACGTCTGCATATTTGTAGCGTAAAAAATCAATAATTGGTAATCGCCCCATCAATGAAAAAAATTGACAGCTGGGAATTTGCTATTTGTTTTGTTTTGGTTTGGTTTTCTTTCTGCAGCTAAAAGCTTTGTAAGTATAAAAACTGCTTATCAATCAAATGTTTATTAATAAATTAACATTTTCAGATTAAAGCACTGCTGCGGAAACATTTGAAGGATGAGTTTCTAAATTTCATAAAGGTACGGGTGACCTGAATGGACGGCTTTGTTTTTATAACGTTACATATTTGTTATTGAGCTGCAATAGTTGCAACAGGGCACGTTGTGTTCTAAAAACATCCTTTTAAGTAAGTAAATAATATTTTTGCGTTGTAAATCAGTTAATTTTCAGTATCCTAATCCAGAATACCCCACACCCCAGTGTTATACAGCGTGTGAATCATCTGGAATTGAGAAAACGTCGGGACAGCTCAGCTCGGAAATTTGCAAGAAGGAACATAATTCAAACCCAAATTATTAATAAGTTAGTGCACAGGAATAGTATTTTTTTTCCTTTTAAATACATCGTAGACTCTTGTCTACAAGTGTATGTAAAAGTTTTTGATTCGGGTCACGCGTTGGGGCACAGCGATCCAAAATCGTTCTACAAATAATTTACCGTACCCAAATCATTTGCAAAATACTATCAAGCAACAGGAACAACAAACAGGATCACAGCATAAGTAGGATGTCTTATTTCAAATTATTGGATACATACATATGTATATGTAATTTGAATTAAATTTTAAAATACATTGTGCAGGCTCTTAGCAACAACACCAAGTGAAGCTCGTCGACTTACATAACAGAATAAAAATGCAAGATTCCTGTATAAGTTCAGCGCTTGCAAAATACCGATTTCCTGTTTCCTGGTTAAAGAATTGTACGTGAAGAATGGTCAGTTAGTCGGCACAGTACAACAAGCAGTATTAAGATCGGCTCAATGTCTTACATAAATAACTACAGGGCTAATTTCATGTTCCCCAAAGATTCGAGATTACTTATTTGCATTGCATGTTTTCGTTGATGTATGAATAGTAAATATTGATTGTACAAAAACATTTACGTCTACAAGAAGATATGAAAATTGCTTTACACGGTATGTATTTGCAAGTTCTTTGAAAACGAAATAAACCTAACACAAAAGAATCTATCTCTATGGCAGATGGAAATTAAATTTCACGTTTCTAGTTCGTCTGTACGTGCATCTGCTTTGTGCATGTATGCCTTTCCATATGTAAAAAGTAGCATTTACAGATGCAAACGCATGTCGTGTAAAATCACTTTAACAAACATGAATAGCATTGATTTTTTATAATTTTTTTCTGACGGTGTTATGCACTTTTTTTCGTATAAAATATTACTTTGTATGGAAGAAAACGCGTGATATTGGCACCAAAAAAATTATCAAAAATTAACGCGATTTTTTAGCCACTTCAAACTTGCACTTTATCCAGAATGTAATAAACAATAAAACTGCATACCAAAAATTATTGTAGAAATTTAAATTAAAACGCTTGGAATTGGGATGAAAAGGAATATTTAATAATATTTAGAATTTTTTGTACAAAGTATGAAGTTTGGATTTATATGGTATTCCCTAGATAAAGAACTGTACTTTTATATAAAATTAAGAACGTTAAAGTATTTAAATTTTTTTAATTACCCTTCAAGTAGAATTATATATCGAGGGCTTGTATTCAACCCCTTTATCTGCAATTTTCATAAAAAATATTTTAACTTTTTAGAACCCATCTTGTTGTTGTAACAGCATACAAATTCCCCAAAGAGATTTTGGGGAGTGTTGCTGGAGTGACAGTCCTTGGCCAGATATAAATCTGGGTCGTTCCGGTTACGTAGACCCGACCTGTCGTCACAA